GGGGAGCCGAGAGGCGCCGCTGTAAGCACTTGGCATGAAGCAGAGGCAATAAACAGGCCTCTGTTAATAAGCTAATGTGCAGGAGCGATTAAGCAATGGAATTAGAATTTGGGTCCCCAGCCAGCCATATATCCATCAATCACAGCTCGTGATGTGGTTTGTAGTGTCTAGATTTGCAAAATCCTAAAACCAAAGTCATATTTGGATCAAAGCTGTGCCACATTCAGAGCAACGGTAACAGAAATCTTTGTGAGATGGAGGTGGCCGTGGAGGTGGCTGTTTTGTGATATTCTGCTTCAATGCGTGTGGTTGCAGAGGAGGGATCTGGGTCTAATTTCAGGCATGCTGTGCACACTGGAGCGCCTGGAAATGCTGTCACCGCACGCTGCGCTGCGCAGCAGGTTGGGCTCCCTCCTTTGGCCTGTGCCCGGTGGCTGCTGAGGGAAATGGGGGCGTTCGGAATTTACAGCTCCGGGCGCTGCGGAGGTTTGTGCTGAGCAGCAGGGTGGGCAAAGGCAGCTGCCAGTCCTGGTGCTGCTCAGGTGCTCCGTGATGAATCACAGCTTCATGCTGGGCACTGACAGGCACCTCTCTCTGTTCCTAGTGTTTCTGTGTGTTTTCTGTGATGAGGAGCACATTGCCATGGGCAGAATAGCCCCAGTGTCTGGTCGTGGTGCCGCTCTTGCAGGGTGCTGCTGTTGGCTTGTGTTCCAGCACTTTGGGTCAATCTACGTTGGAGAGGTGCCTCGTGGGTGCGACCGAGATCCTAAGTTAAATACGGAATTATTTTCTTTCAACGGTTACTTAACATTCAAAGGTGAAATTCCACATAAAGAATGAAATTACCCTTTTGGTAACTAGGTTTTCCAGCACTTATATTTTTCTAAGCTATTGACCTTCTTGCTGTTCATATTGGAAACTCCCGACCAAGTTAAGGTGTCCCCGAGTCCAAACTTTTTATGTCTCTGTTTATCCACCTTCCTTGCTAATGAAAATCTTCTCAGATGTGCATGGTCTACATTTTTATCCAACAGGTTGTGCTGAGCTATAGAAGATGAATTATTGCAGAGTCTTGAGTAAGCAAGAGGAAGTGACAAAGTTTGTGGTGTTCCAGTAGGCGCTGCTGGACGTTGAATGGAGTTAACAGTCAGTCAACAGTCCTCAGCAGAGAGCAAAGACGTAACAGTCAAATCACATATTAAGTCACCTTCGGAAAGGTTAGAATCCAGCAGGAAAGTAGAAAGAGCAGAATAGAAAAAACAGATATTTTTTTATCTATGCTTTTAGACACCAAAATCAATAGGCAATCAGATCTTCCTGCTTCTGTTCTGATTTATTTCTCTGTTTTGGGTATAGTATCTGTAAACTTTGTATACATGTCATGATAGACTGCAACACTTCTCTGAATTAGCTCTGAAGCGCTTTTGAAAACATGCCTGTGGACTATTTGTGTAGCAATTTGTCTTAGATGTGCTCAATTTGACATTATCTGTGTACTTAAAGTCCTGGCTCTTTTCTTTTGCATCCTGGTGC